ACATCACATCACATCACATCACATCACATCACATCACATCACATCACATCACATCACATCACATCACACCTCATTCCCAATTCATGCCTCTTCGTCCTAATCATGGCAAAGACGCAGCCCGACCACGGCAGGTTCTCCGAATTGTCGAGCTGACTTGCATGTCGAGTGAAAGTGTGCGGTGAAGAGATGCAAGGGTCGGTTGCACCAAAAGACCAACTGTCGATTGGCTTTACTGGAACATTCATGCTGACGCTGTTGCCGAGGCAATCTCACTCGATTCCGGCGAAAAAATGCTCAGCTTTCGTCCATCACATGACGAACATCATCGGATCAAGGTTTCATCGTCACAACCAAATTCAAGCCAACGAGTCAAGAAAACTCACCGGCAAAACTGACGGACGAAAGCTCAGCACCTTTTCACCGAAATCGAAGGAGGTTGCCTCGGCAACAGCGTCAGCATGAGTGTTCCAGCAAAGCCAATCGACAGTTGGTCTTCTGGTGGAACCGACCTTGGAATCTCTTCACCGCACACTTTCACTCGAAGTGGAAGTAAGCAAAAGATTCCTCGAAAGCCAACTTTTCTTCGCATGGCTTCTCCGAAGTGGCAGTGAAAACATGATGCAATCGGTGAAACGTGTCAAAACAAAAAAGAGGAGTAGAAAGAAAGCGGAAAGTTTGCACAAAGAAAGACTTGCAGACCAACCTGGCTGGGACGTCGTCGAGATGTTGCGAACATAATTGACGGCCATGTCGAGAATGTCGGCTTTTTCCAGACGACTGGCCTGAAAAGTGACAACAAGACAGAACATGGGCATGAGAAAGGATGCAAAAAGTTGGCTGAAAGGTTAGCTTTAAAGTGTGTCTTATGATGAATTCGGAAGATACCAAAAGGAGCCACGTGTCGTCGGATCCTTTTTACTTTGTTACCCAAAACCAGGTGGACAAAACTGGTACATTTTATCGTAAATTTCATGAAAGTTGGCAACGCGGATTTGCAGCAAGAATCAAATAAAACCAATTTAATCATGATTTGTCTGGTCTAACGCATGGTCAAGTCCGCTCGACCAGAAGATGTAAAATACGCGAGGAAAAGTTGAGCCTTCTTCCATCTCGAGTGAAAGTGTTCGAGGGAGAGATTCGAAGGTCCGTTCCACCGGAAGACGACCAGCGACGGATTCCGCTTGACCAACTGTCGATTGGCTCTATCGGACGAATCATGATGGCGCTGTTTCCGAGGCAATCTCACTCGATTCCGGTGAAAAGCTGCTCAACTTTCGTGCGTCACTTGACGAACATCATCAGAGCAAGGAGGGTATCATCTTCACAACCAAATTCAAGCTAAATATTCAAGAAAACTCACCCGCGAATCTCTTCATGCAACACTTTCACTCGACATGGAAGTAAGCTCAACAATCATCAAACAAGAGCTTCCTCGAAACCCAACTTTTCTTTTATTTATATATATATATATAAGTTAAAAAACAACTTTATGGCAATAAATGACAAAACTCTTTATAGAAATGGATTGACCTCGTTGTCGCAACTTGGTCTTGTTGTCAAGGGGACTTAGTAGAACGCATCTAGTTCGAAGACGTCTGCCATAGCAGTTGTCATGATTCCCAGCATCAGACAGTCGACTTGGTACCAAATTCAAGCTAACGAGTCAAGAAAACTCACCGGCGAATCTCTTCACGCAACACTTTTCCTCGAAATGCAAGTAAGCTCAACAATTATGAAACAAGAGATTCCTCGAAACCCAACTTTTCTTTTATTTATATAACGAAATGACTTGTAAAGTCGCGAAAAATTCGCAAAAGTTATTTCGTCATACCGGATAAGGTAAAAAAACAACTTTATGGCAATAAACGTCAAAATTGTTTATAGAAATGGGTTGACCTTGTTGTCACAACTTGGTCTTGTTGTCAAGGCGACTTAGTAGAACGCATCTAGTCCGAAGTCGTCTGCCATGTTAGTTGTCATGATTCCCAGCATCAGACAGTCGACTTGGTACCAAATTGAAGCTAACGAGTCAAGAAAACTCACCAGCAAATCTCTTCACGCAACACTTCCACTCGAAACAGAAAATGTAAGACATGAGCATAATCGCCTGGAAGCGTCAGCTGCCTTTTAAAACCGAATAAAAATAAAACTCCCAACGACCGGCATTTTATGTAAAAAGCGTGTTCTCGAGGAGAAGGAGTTGAGCCATTCTCGAGAAGAGGCCGACTCAAAGAATATCCTCGACGTTGGTCGTAGTTTAGTCGCAATCTCTGCATTCCCGATCAGGAAGCTATTCAACTCAGTAGGCCAATTGTCCGACACTGAGTATTATTAGTAGTATTAGTAGTAGTATAAGTATTAAATTTTATTGCTAATCATATCAAGCCAAAGGTGGAATGTTAAAGTCGACGCCTATTGAAAACATGCATTTGGTAAAAGGCGAGAAGTAGATGCAGATTATTCTTCCGGTGGACAGTATTTTGTGTGTGCCAGTTGACTTAGTAGAGATGGTTTATTTTCGAGAAAATAGGCAAACTGAAAAGGAGGTGAGGGATGGAGAGAAATTTGAAAAAATTCCTAAAGTGTCGTTCGACGGAGGCGACTTTTAGTGAGAAACATGGTCGCAATTGAGCAAACATGAAGCCAAGTAAAGAGGCCATTTTCTGTCGCTCCACACCCGCTTGCGGATGTGCAAAGTTGTGGGAGATGTTGGCGAAAAACAACTTCTTGCTCATCTCACCGACGTTCAGTGTCCTGCCATTCAACGGGAAGCGAAGCTGGCCACGAGCCGGTTGAGATTTGAGCCATACGAGCGGTTTAGACAGACCGCTTGAGACAACGGCATCGTGGCAAGCATCATCATTTCGTGTGAGAGTGTGTTTGACGAAGGGATTTGCAGGTCGAGCTCATCGGAAGCGACGACGTCAAAGCCACCTTCCGGTCGACGCAGTCCACGGGACATTCTCGCTCGTCCATGCGTCCGTTTGCACGACGGAGCTCGTGGAAGATGCAACTATTTCGCGCAAAAGTCAACAAGACTCGAAGCCCCTGCAAGAATCCGTTCCAGCCCAAACGAGAAAGGCTAACCAGTGGACAAACTGTAGATGATGTCAACGCTAAACGGCGGCATGACAACCGAAATCAATCGTCTTCGGATTGCATGCAATGTTATAGCATTAAAGCAATCGAAACACAGTTTGCATGGTACAGAAGATTGATGAAAATTTCCCACAATCACGTGAGCAGAGCTGACGCTTCCAGTGAATTTCGTACGACCTCACTTACCCAAAAGGTGTCTTCATCCACGTTAAAGTGGACTGCAGTCTCGACCTCGCCTCGGTCTTAGCAACACCACAAGCGGGACTCGAACCATGGCAGCACAGCATGTTATATCGACTATCGAATCTATTCTTAATGCACTTTTATGCGAAATGGAAGTTTGCCCAACAATAATAAAGTATTGTTGTCGTGACTACCAGTAAATCAGTAGTATGAGATGTATTCACCCAATTTCGTGTAAGGTGACGAAGGACTGGTAGAAGAAGAATTTTCCCACAATGATATGAGTTGAGTTGACGTTTCCATTCAATTTCACA